ACTCATTGTTGTTAAAAACACTGTTTAGAGATTTTTTTGTTGCTTACATGAAAAAAAAGTTACATGATGAACCTTGAATATATGTCTGTCTTATCTCAAATGTCAAAAAAAATTTATTTTAATATTTAAAAGCAAAGGCTTACCTTTTCTTTTACAAATTTTTAAAAGCCAAGTTAAATCGTACAATCCTAGTATTTCTAAGATATTCCAACGATTATTTTGTTGACTGCTTCTTATGTATCACTCAACTAAAAGAAGTTTCTACTGGCATACGTTTATTGAATATCGATGTGTGAAATAAAAAAAGAAATTTTTTTTATTCTTAATCTCCTCCTCACGAATAAAACAAGAAGTAAGAGATATAAAATAAAAGTGATACAGATTAACGAACAAAGACGACTGCACTAGTAAGACAAGTGATTGTAAAAGCGTCACATATTTTTAAAGATAAAAGAAATAATGATTATGACACCATAATGAGAATTTAAGCTATACTTTCATAGTTTGACAATATTAATTTCAGGTGGCGTTTGTTAATAACGCTTGTATCATCAATACCAAACTAACTACGAACTGAACGAAATTATAAAAATAAATGTATCAAATGATTGACTATAAATGAGATTTGTTAAAATATAACAGAAAAAGAATTGATTCAACGTAAAAACAATACTGTCAAATTGACATAATCGCAGAAGTTTGTAAAGCACAATGCCAAGTAAAATAGAAATGAACAAAGGATGAAACTTATCAATCGTATTTATCCTTCGCTGTAATGCTAAGATCATAAGAAATACATGATAAATTATCGAATGATCGAACGATTTCAGAGTCATATTGCAATGATTCGACACTCTCCAACTTAGTCATTAGAAAATTCGCAAAAAAAACAAAAAGAAAAACGAGGACAAGTCTAAATTTTTACACCACGACAACGAATCATCCCCTGTTTGGTTGCGGACCAGGGAATCCTCTGCTTTTTAGAGCCAACATGGCAAGCACTGCAGGTGTAATCAAGAGCCCCGCCAAAATCTACAACCTCGCACGCCATGAGCTATGGCTCGCACAGCGCGTGTACAGGGAGCAAGGAAAATCCCCAAGAGCCGCGCAACAGCAGCACTCGTTGCCCTCCCCGTGCTTAATGCTTATAACGAAACCCGGTGAGTATTATTACCGATTTCGCCGCTGCGTCTAGCGCGATGCGCCAAGGGACGTATTAGCAAAATGTATTAGCTCGAGCGAGATTGTTGGAGTACAGTCACTCGCGCAATACGTATGCTCAGGGAATGGGAGAGAGAGGCCGGCAAGGAAGGCGAACGGAGGACCTGTGCGCTCAATCATCGGGACGGATTGCTCAGGGTGTAAAATATCACTATGATTTATTTTTTTTTAATTTATACGTTACCTATAAAAATTTGTTTTGTTTCGTTTAAAAATAGAAATGCCAGGCACCAACGATTGCGGTGAGGCGGTCGATTTGATGGGTCGAAATAATTTAATAACTGTTAGCTCGACTGCGGATCGCCATCAAGTTAGCCTAGTTGATCTCGTTGTTCGGATCATTCTGGTCATCACTTATTCGCACCGTAAGTAATTGATTGTCCCGATTGGGTCGATCATTTACACGCCACATAATGACAGAAACCTGCCCAATCACTTTGGGGTGAATTGATCGATCGGGGCAAATGCGCAGTTGGATTTTTCAACTGCACTACAATCGAATGAATATATCTTTAGACTGTATAGGTAGTAGTCACGAATTCATTGATCGGATACTTTTGTTCTTGAAAGGATGGAACAAAAGCTACGTTCAACCGAATTGCAAAATAAGCAAGTCATTGGCTCCTTTTAACCGAGTTTTTTTTGTAATCATCCAAATCAATATGAATCAACGGAGAACTAGAAAAACTCATTTTCGAAGCCACGGAAACACGAATGTAAATAAAGTGTGGCGTATGAAAAAAGTAAGCAAATAGCGAAGCTGATATAGTTTTGTGGGCGTGGAAAATGGGTAATTTTTCACGAGGGCCTGCATCAATCAGATAAAGATCTCTGACAACGGCTAATTTTTTTTTTTTTTCATACGAGTCACTCGTTCTGTCCTAAAAGCAGCAAATCACGTAAAAATACGGAAAAAAGATTGAAAATCACATCGTAGACTTGACAAATATTCAGCTCTTTTTAAGCCCATCGAAAGATTTTTTTTTTCTCGTTTCGACAGTCCTAATCTGAACTACTGTGCTATTCATTTGGTATTTCGTTGGTTTTAATAACGAAAGTACGACTTGTCAACTAGAAATTCGCTAGTAGAGATCAACGATATTTCTTATCGAATCAAGGAGCATAATCTACTTTTTCATGGGAATCGTCAAAAGCACGAATCAACTGAGGTATTGATACATAAATTTTGTAAGTTTGTAAACAGTAGCGCAATCAAAACCATGCACTCAATTGTCCGTTTGGAAACACGCCCACGCAGTTTTCCCTGTCGTTGAAATCCAGTAAAATGCTTCATTCTTTGGCACTACAATAGCGAATCAATTGTAACGCTCGTGTTCGTTTGCAAACAAGTCATAAAAAAAGGTAAACTCATGAAAATAAAGAGGCCGTACTTTGATCAACGCGTTTAATCTAACCTTTCTAATCGTCCCTAGAATCCCTCGGTTTTTTCCCCAACCCTCTCTTTAAACATACACAGTGCGCGAGGGGGCGTGACGGCTTTGGGCGCAAAAAGCCATCGCTGCTTGATTCACTTGCGCGTCGCGGCTTAGCGGAGCTGCTTTACCTACCATTGTACTAGTGGCGCAAAGCACGAAAGCTCGTTTCGCGGCCCCTTGCGTATTTTACATACCAAATGCAAATTAGCGACACTGTTTATACGTATACCGCGCCGTGCGTGGAGTAAGGTCGGGGGGATTTTTTAACCCCACCTTTGTAGATTTTTTTTCTTCGTTTTTTTTTTTTCCAAGCGAACGACGCGTGGTATTGCTGTGGCTGACGACCGGAAGAATTACGAGGGAAAAATTGTCGTTCTTTAATTTAAAAATCTAGTTGTTATTAAAAAAAAAAAAGAACAAGGAAAAAGGGTGATTAATTAAAAGTTTCTTCGACACCGCACAAACTTTCAAACGACTGCAACCCCACACACGTAAATACTGTCATTTTGATTTTTATGTCGTTTATTCTGTGTCAAAAAGTTGTTAAATATCGCGTGGGCTCGTGCACTTCAAAGCAAAGCTTAATTTTTCCTCTCGGAATTAATTGAAAAAAAAGAACACAGCTAGGAACTATAGAAACCCGGAATTCTACGTATGTTGTTACACGTACATGAAAACATGTTAACGAGTTGTGTGTACGAGTGATTCCAAAAAAAATCTTGAGCTCCTTTTCAAACTGTTACGTGGAAAAAGGATGAGCTAGGATGGACGTACGGATGCATGTATGTTATTTCGTTCATCATAAAATTCGAGACGAAAAAAATATTCAAAGTTAAAGCTGTGATGAAACATTTTCTGAAAAATCTTGAAAATTGCATTTTTTTCGTTACGTTTCGTTAACACATGGTATTTAGAAAAAAAAAAGTTTAATCCATAGTTTACAAGGTGCATGGAAAACCACAGTTTATTTTCTCTTTTCCATCGCTTATGATTTTTTGTGAAACTGTCGCCCTCATAAAAACATACACACATATTTACGTAAGCTATGTGCCTTTGTCCCACGTGACACTGCAGTTACAGAAGCACACGCGAAAAGATTAGGCGTCCGGTGCATTAGTGAATTATTCAACCTCCCTCTGGCGCTGCCGCTGTTTCCGAGTCGATAAAAAAAAAAAATAAAATAAAAAAAAAATAACAAAATAAAACTGACCACTATAGATTGACCAAGTCCTTTCAAAAAGGTCTGGCTCTTCTCTGAGAAGCTATTATACATAGGTACACTCGAGCGAGTGAGCGAAGGGAAAAAGAAAGAGGCTCGCGACGTCCGTCTCACGAGGGTAATCCGAGACGCGATGGCGTGTGTCGGCAGATTTATGCCACGGAGATATTCGCGCTAGATGGGGAGAGGTCGGCGTTATCTGCGACCGTAAACTCAGCCGCGTACAGCGCGAAGGGGCTCTGGTGCGTGCAATTGCCTGATGCTTGTCTGGATATATCTCGGGGGTGACGTTTTTGCGGGGTTTATTAGACCCGCCTTAGGGTTCCTCCCTTTCTATCTGTTATGATTACTTTTTTTTTTTTTTTTCACTTTGTTTATTCTACCCTACCCTGCCTGCGATTTACAACTTTTGATAGTTCAGGGCACCAGTTTTCGTAAGGCCGACGTATAAGTTTATTTTTTTTTTTTGTAAAAAAATGCTACGAAAAATTAATTTGTTGAATTTGGATCATCTCGTTCTTAAAGTAAGTTAACAGGGTGTTATGGCTTGGATGAAAAATATAAAAGTTAGTATTACACTGCATTAATAGTGAAATAGTGAAAACTTTTACATGGACATATTACGGAAAAAAAATACCACATAATATTTACGAGAAGTTTGACGAATTCCGGTGTACCACCCTAGAGATGCATACGAGAATCCCGAGGAAAGTTAATGTTTGCTTCGTCGGTCGGACAAGCTCGAATAACATCTTTGGGGCTTGGTGAGGAAAGAAAAATTTAATAAACTCGCGAAGTAAGTACTTGGCGAGAATTACACGCGCACACAAACGCGTCGAGTTGGTATTATTTTTCTCCGATGATAATTTGATAAAGTCAACGAAAACAATAACCCACAAAAAAGCCGGCCAGAGAGAAGGGGGAGGGGGGGAGGAAACTTCGCAGACGAGATGGCAAACTTTGCCGAAATGGCTCGACTGTTTGTATCCATCCGCTGCCGCTGTTCCCAGGACAGATGGGTGGAGCAGTAGGGGAGGGGAGGGGGCTGCAAAGCCAACCAAGAGAGAACATAGTCCTCGTAGCACACTAATGGCTTATGAAGTTTCAAAGGAGAGTTTACTTACGGTGTCGTTATGATTCCAGAATATGTATGCCGGCGGCTCCGGACTGTGTTGTATGATGCAAGTGAGGTTGATCGTGCTGCCAACGTCGATAAAGAGATCCGGGGTGCCCAGGATCTCGGTCACCGGCTCTGCAAATTCAAATACAAACGGGCTTGTCTTTATAATTGTCGCTTCTTTGTCAATCGTTGAAACATTTTGTATGTTCATCATTCGAAAATATATTCATGGATAATATTGCTTACAGCTAACGAGTGTCAATTCGCGTTTGTGCAACGCGTGACATGCATACTTTCGGATTGCTCAACAAAAATGTATTCAAATGAAAATATTCTTTCAGACTACTCTCGCATTGGGTGCTACTGTTAACCGCTATTGTCAATGTCACAAAGAAAAATCGTGTTTAAAAAAAAAAAGTAACGTTAAACGTGACAGCTGGCATTCAAAATAAAAAGGTGAGCCCCTATTTTAGGCTCAATGGATCACTCGGTAGCCAGTCATTAGGAGATTCCTCCACCCTAGTGGACCAAAGAGTCGAAAGGGGATCAAAGGCCAATCGCAAGCTCCTTAAGGGATTCGGGGGCGAATTTATCCGCAGACCAAACACCTGGCCCCGCACACATACGGAAAAGATTTACGAAAGGCTCGGCCGAGCAGTGCTTTTCGCTCGCTTGTATTTTCCTGAGAAGAGAGCGAGTTTCCTTTTATCCGGTACACCGATAGTCGGTTCCTACTTTTTTCAAAGAGTGGACGAGCTTTAGTGCTCGTATCAGCCACTGTTACGACGAGAAGGCAAAGAAAGGGAAAGGAGCGCGTATTTACGGATTTTTCAATAGCTGCAGTAAGTACTTACTTGCTGCTGCTGCGTCTTTTGCCGTCCTCCATCGAACCTAGACTCTGTGTGCTTTTCTTTTCTTGCTCTGTAACGCGCGCCCTTTCCGGTCGCTTACATACTTAAACGGCCGAGTGGTACACGGTACATTGGGGTCGGGCAAATACTCGATGCGAGGGTGTTTACGCGCTGGTTACACAAGAATCAGACGCAACAGTAAAACGTGTTTCAGCTCACTCGAAAAAGTTCCTTGTTTATCGGCTTTACTTTTGTATGAAGCGATGGAATGAACTTTTGGCCAAGTTATTTTAGCCATGTGTCTTGAAAGTAAATCTAAATTTTTTAAATTTAAAATACGGACTAAGGTTGGGATAACTACGAGCAGGAGATGCAAAGGTTTCAGAGGATGCCGAAAATAGCGTCCGTAACTACACCCATGTTAAATAGAATGGGAAAATAGGGAGGGTAACAGGTGTCTCAATGGGATAGTGGAACACCAGGGATTTATATATTTTCCTGTTTTTGATCCATCGTAGTGGCTATGAGACGTGTGCTGTTCGAAAAAAGATATTTGCTAGTCGAGATTCATTTCAAGTAGTATAGTTTTGGTTTGGTCAGCCGACCGAGGAACTTTAAGAAATAACGTTTTCTGCCATAGGTACTACCATTGGTAATTAACAAATGGTCAACTAATGAACTTTTAAACTACTGTCTTTACTGATTTCAATCAGCAAGCTCCAGCTTCCTTCATCGCCAACTTTTCGACCTCTGGACTTTTTTACACTGAGAGAAAAAAACCATAAATTTTACCGTGATTGCCCTTACAAAAATTACCGTGCAGACGGTAATCGTGGGACAAAGCGATATCTTGAGACTTTTTGACCTAACTTAGTCCATTTTTACCGTGCTGAACAGTAAAAATCGTCGGATGCCCAACAAAATTTCCCCTGACTATTCTTATATATAGATATACGTAGATAGATTATTGCAATGTAGCAACTTTGTTCAACTCGTCCGTACTCGGAGATAAAATCATGGAATGATTTGAAAAAAATTACACACGTTCCTCATAGTATCTTTGTAACAACAGTATCCATCCGATAATCAAAAACATTATCATCAATGCAAAAATAATCCTAACCTAAAAACATGCAACATACACATTGAGTCAAAAAAAGTGTGTTATAAATTTTCGAAATTTACATTTTTTTCGTACAACATCGTTCAAGTGGATTTCAGGAAAAAGTGTACAAATTTTCAGGTCATCATATTAATTAATCCCCAGTGGGGGGAAAATTTATTGAGCACCCGACGATTTTTACTGTTCAGCACGGTAAAAATTGACTTCGTGTAAGTCAAAAAGTCTCAAGATGTCGCTTTGTCCCACGATTACCGTCTGCACGGTAATTTTTGTAAGGGCAATCACGGTAAAAATTATGGTTTTTTTTCTCTGAGTGTAGTTGTGCCATTATCTCGAAATAGCCCAGTGTTTCCTCGAAAACCACCTAAAAATAACGGCCCTTGCTTTTTTTGTCAAAAAGTTGAATTATTAGCCTCTCTGCACCTCATGATACACATACACGCTCTCGTAAGCTGCTACGTGTCCGAAGTACGAGAGGAAAAAGAAAAAAAAAAAAATAGGAGACTGAACCGCCGCGCACGAATAGGGTGTGCGAGCGCATTCGCGATAAATCACATGCGCAAGGGGAGAAAAATGAAAGGGAGCGAGGGAAGAAAGAGTCCCCGATTAATCAAAAGATTCGATTTCCTTCTGGTGCTTCTTAAGGCTCGGCGCATTCATTTTTTGCTCGGCCCTTTTTGCTCACGTTTGACGCTAAACCTTTGATTTCCAAGTAGATTTTAAGTAAGTGAACGGTACGTTTTTGAGTGGATTACGAAAGCTCATGCGAGGGAAACTATTTTTCATTTGAGCTAAGACTGACGAAATAATTAAATTGTATAGCCTAATAATCTAGAAAAACGAGTTTCTGATGCGTACTCAAGAAGGCTATTTTTACTTCGGAAATGACGAGAATAAATATTTTTTCGTGAAATGTTGTTTTCTCGGGAGTTGCGAGAAAAATACGCTCCCGAGTGTACTTTCAAGCGACACTTGGAACAGCCCGAAATACCTCAAAAGCGTACGCAAACTTTCATCTTCTTGGACTCATTTTCTCGAGAATCACTTATTACGCGGGTGAGCGTCAAAAATAGCAATGCCAAAACCATTTTTTTCTTCTTCAATTTTTACGTTTGCGCAAAATAATGGATTTTTCTTCTTTTTGAAAAGAAAGGAATTTTTTTTTGTTGCTGCATAATATTTATGCTGACACGTGATCTGAATTTCATGCTGCGTCGGCTTTAGTAAAAGCACATTACATGTACGTGATGCATGAGTTTACATCATGTGGCTTTAGGTACTTCTCGCGTAAAATCGATGCCAGAGTTGCTTCGTTGGTCTGATGACAGGCCAGGGAACTATACGATATGAGGAGGGACGTGAGGTTTGATTGGTTTTCGGAAGTTTCGATGGTGGCTTAGCTTCGCCTTGCGATGGGGCTTGGTGATTATTTAACTGATGCGAGTTGATCACGACTAAGTATTACTAAGCACTCGAGCAAGTAATGTATACCATACATTGAATATCCAATATCCGTATTTTTTTTTTTTTTTATAAATTTCATCATTTTTAAAAATAACAATCAGATCAAAAAAATTCGAGGTATTTGTTATGCAACCATAATTCATCAAAGGGATAAATCTTTTGATAAAACGTGATAAAATTCACGATATTGGATGATAAAAAATATTTACATTCAAAGTAAATGATTTAATTCGATATTTTTAAGTAACGTAGAGCAAGTAACCAGCAAAATTTCGCTATGGTCCACCGAGTTACGAATTTTCTAGATGACATATTGAAAGAACGGAGAGCGTTTGTTCAAAGATTGCAAAAAAATCACATTTGACAGAACAAGGGAAAAAAATTTTTAAAAGAGGAGAAAAAGAAATGTTAGTGGTAAAATTCGAAATTAAACTATAAAATTCAGAAAGGAAAGAAAAACATCGAATAAAGTAATCTGTTATTCGGATAATTCTTTCGAGAATAGTAAGTTTGCGAGCGCAAAAAAATCGAGACGACAGAAGAGAAAAATTTATCTTCTTGGACCGAGTGATTAATTCATCGAGACGAATAAATCAACCACTCATGGAGCTTCACCGGGATTTATTGTATATTTTCGGTAATTTTTTAGATCGAATGACCTCTTTTTAATTACCGGATGTAAAAGCATGCTGAAAGAAAAAAAAAGAATTTGAAAAAAAGGTATACCCGGTTGTATAACGAATGCAAATATAGTTAGCTTTGGGAGAGAAGCAGTAGTAAAAAAATAAAAATAAAAATTGAATGGAAAAAAAAACAAACATAACGCGCAAAACAAAAAGAGAAAAAAAATATAGACGAAGGTCAGATGCGGGAACGATGTATGGTTAGCAGAAAGGAAGAGGGGAAAAAAAACATCACAGGTGGGAAACTGCCAAATGGGAAAGTAGCCTTTGCGAGGGAAATATGAGAAATTTTTATGTACCGGCGAAAGGATGGGGTTCGATTTCTTGATTGGAAAAAAATGAATCTCTGCACACTGTATTTTTAACTCAGACCAGAAAGCTCGATGAAGTAGAGAAAATCCACCACATATCTTGTTACCTCCTGTACGAGCCTCTACATAGCTTATTTCGATTTTTTTTGGGAAATCTAATTTTTTTTATTGGCTCGTATATATTGACTATCAAATGCAGGTAAAAAAAAGTGGTTTTCCACCGTTTTGTATTGATTTTTGGAATCTGAAGTAATGAATTTAAAAGTTTTACTTTAGTGATTTTTTTTCGATACCATTCATTCGAAACTATTACATTGAGTACTTCACGTTGCTTTGCAAAAAGTTCAACTTGACAAATGGATACACCTAAAGTTGCTAAAAATACGAAAATAAAAGATGCACACAAGTTTTGGTGCGAATAAGAGAAAAGTAGCATAAGGAATGCAGAGCTTTTACGGTTGATCTATTTTTCCAGCTTATACTTTCGAAAGAAATTTTTTTTGTTATAAACATACACACTCATACTGTGCTTTTTGTTCTTGTGTACTCTTCGGGGAAATGCGTGACTTAGATATTTATTTTTGTTTACGTGTGTCCTTCCGGAATACAACCCAAAACTTGTATGATATGTCACTTTTTCTTTGCTCAAGTTTTCCTCGAAACAAATAATAAAGAATGGTACTACCCGGCATTTATGTGTATGTTTTTCTGAAATATTGATTGTTGTCATAACTCCGTAGTA